GTCTCCCCAGCTCCGGCTTGCTCTGCCGCCTGTGTCAGCCTAGTTGGACGATGTGCCGAGCTTCTGATGCGGGCTTGCCCCAAAGATGCTGTCTCTTGCCTTGCTTTCAGCAACAGACACTGAAGTCTGGACAAGGAGGCTACCCAAGGAGCTCAGGCTCCTCTGAGAGAAACAGTGGGCAGCAGTCCCTGGGCCTTTGGCTCAACCTTGTCCTTGGGCTGCTGTGGCTTCACAGGCAGCTGAGAAATCTCAGCCCGTCCTCTCCTCCAATACCCACATCCCCTCCGAGTCGGGTCCTGGACAGCAGGCGGGATTTCTTTCCATCTCGAGTCAGTCCTTCTCCACATATATCTGCCACACTCCCCTCTGGCTCTCTGCAGACCAGATTTCTAGACTTCTCAGCTCACAGAGGGGAAGAGGAATACCTTGCAGCTCCCATGTTTACACCAGTCACAGAGCCTGACTTTCCTTCTTTCTCTCACATCTGGTTCCTAATTGCCATGAGAGAACATCTGATTGACCTGGCTTGGATCAGGTGTTGTTCTGTCCACTTAGCTAAACATGCAGTTCAAATGTGGCTCCTAGAGACCCACTCAGCAGATCAGGGACATTGCCCAGAGAGAAGCGAGTGAGTGACTTAGAACAGTAAAAGTCCATGGCAAGTACTGCTGGAAGGGACGTCCCAAGGTCCAGCAGAGCCTCAGGGTGGCAGCTTCCTGTCTACAGATGAGGTCAATCTTCCGAAGTGGCTGGGACCAAGCTCTGGCCTAATGGGACAGCTTCCCATTAAGGTTTGCTGGTACAGGTGGACACATGGTTGATGAACAGCATTTCCTGGGCCCTTCCACAGGCCACTCCTACCTCAAGGGGCTCTGTGTACTTGACATTGAAAAATGGGATGGAGGACCCTATTGCTAAGACAAGATTACTAAGACCCCAGTGTAATTATTACCCAAGACTTCTCCCTATTCTGCAGCTTCCTAAACCAGCAACAGGGACGCGGAGCTTTCTGAAATTTAATCTCCATGATGCTACCTAGTGTGTACCTGCTGAGGGGGAGATGCCTTTCAGACCTGCCTTGGCTAGTCTGCGTTCTCCTGATGCTGTTGGCCCAGGCAGGACCCTGGCTGCTTCTGCCTCGATAGCTCTATCCACTCTTCCTCTTCCTAGTGTTGTGACCTTGGGCAAGTTACTCCACCTCTCCAAGCCTCAGATGCCTTATCTATAAGATGGGGTTCGGAGTAGAGCCTGCCTGGGGCACCTGGGTGTCTCAGCCAGTTAAGCATCCAACTCGTGATCTCAGTTCAGTTCTCGATCTCAGGGTTGTGAGTTCAAGCCTTGCATTGGGTTCCCTGCTGGACACGGAGCCTACTTAAAACAAACAAACAAACAAAAAAATAGTGCCTGCCTAACAGTATTCCTTATTTTCAGGATAGAAAATCCCAGTGTGATTAGACAAGATAATAAACAAGTACTGCTTAGCACATTGTCTAGCACCCATCATCCCCATCACCACCCCATCATCCCCATCGTTCCATCCTCATATCCCCATCATCACTGTCACTTCATTATTCCCATCAACCCCATAACCCCATCATCTCCATCATCCCATCCTGATCATCCCCATCCTCTCCACCACTCCATCATCATCACCGTACCGTCATTCTCATCAGCCCATCCTTATCATTATCGCCACTACCACCACAGTCATCATTTTGTACAGCATTTGGGACTGAAGTGTTCTACTTGGTTGCCAGCCTCCACCTTCCCCAGACCAGACTTCCCATGAGTAGGGTTGGCTGCTGCATCCTTCCTCCCCGCCACTGCCCAAGATCATCCTTGAGAGGAAACCGTAGAATGGCCTCCCTGGGGTACATTATGTTCAGCCACATTCTGCCCCAGCATCATGCTGGGAAAGGTGTCTGTGATTCTGGAGTGGGAACCCCCATGTCAGTCCAAGAGATCCTCTGACTTCTGAGTTTACCAGATATAACTGCCCATTCATTTTTCATTTTTCTGGCCCTGAACGTTCAAATAGCAAATCTCAAAGCAGGGCCGTGATCAGATTGTTTCCAGTGGCTAAAGATCCTGGCTCCTCTGTGCTGATCCTAGCCTGCTTGGGCCCAGCCAGAGTCACCCCAACTGTCACAGCCCTCCTCCGGCCCGGCAGGGCTCCCCTGGGGGAGAAGGCTGCCCCCACAACCCTGACTGTTCTGAAAGCCTTGGGGGAAAGTCCCCATTATGCTGACCTTCACAGCCAGGGGCACTCACTCCTCCAGGGTCCAGGGAAACAGGCTCTGACTTCCCTACCGGGAGCAGCTTGACAGACACAGGCCCTCTGCTCACACAGGAAAGCCAGCCTCCCTTTGTGAGTACTCGCGTCTCCAACCCTACTGACCGGCCGGTGCAGTGGGCTTAGTGGCCTCACCTCCCTGAGCCTCTGTGTCCTCATCTAGGACAGGGCGGGAGCAGTGCCCCTCGCAGAGGCTGGAGGAATGGCGTGTCTCATGGTCCCCACTGATAAATGGCAGTGGCTCTTAAGCGCCAGTCTCCAAACCCCCCCGAAGATTGCTCTAGCACAGGGACAGGAGGCTGAGGGAGCTGTGGTCCCATCCTCAGAGATCCGGGGCGCACAGCTGCTGGGGCCATCCAGTCTCACAGACGCAGACAAAGCCTGGTCAGTGCAAGCTGCTGCAGAGATCCGCAGGAGTGGTGCCTCCGGGAGGAAAACGTCCCGACGCCACCCACAGGGTGGACCCAGTCCCCGTGATAGACTCCACCACATGTGACGCCTCAGCCTCCCTGCAACCCTGAAAGGCATGGGAGGAGCTTGGGCTGTAGAGTCCGAACAGGGTTCAGATCCTGGCTTACTGGGCTCGTGCCTTGGTCAAGTGTCTTCCCATCACTGAGCCTCAGTTTCCCTATTCTGGGGAAGGCAATGTGCTTAAATAAAGCTCCAGTGAGACGGTTGAGTGTCATGGCCTTGCACATGCAAGCCCCCACTCACCAGTGAGCTCTGCTCCCCTGCATTCCTCCCACCAACCCAGCGCACTGGGGAGCACCCTACGCCTTTTGGAAGAACATGGAAAAAGGCTGCTTAAAAGGCTAGACAGGCTGGAAGATGCTGAGTTAAGGCTCCCCATTGACAAGTGTCAGTCAGGCAAACGTCTGCTGAGCATGCAGCCGTGGACTATCTCAGGAAGGAGAGGACGGAAGGAAGGTAGCAGCGCCAACCACGTCCCCCCATTCGTGGAACCACCAGACATTGTGGACAGCCCACTGTCGCCGCACCTTATCCTTGGGCACCAGGGCAAGAAGACAAGAAGAAAGGTGGAGAAGAAGGGGCCAGCGGACCCAGCTCTGGAAAGGGAGGCTCCATCTCCAACTCCAGACAGGTCGCAGCTCAGAGCAGGAATCCAGATCAAAGGGGGAGATGTCCCCTGGGCATGAGGAATGTCATCACAGAAAGGTTCACTGTTGGATCCTGCCCCGACTCCTAGGAAATCTCTGGTAGTGGCTGGGGAGGAAAGCACCTGGAGGCAGCCCATTGCGAGTCCTCGGAGCAGCCTGCTTCAGCACGGGGTTATGCCATGTTGTGAGGAACTCGGCAGTGTTCCAGTAACGGTGAGAATCCTGGAGCTTTCCATAAATGAGAGCAGATTAGTCATGACCTGTGACATCCCGCTCACTCACTGCACTGCAAGCCTCTTTCTGAATTGCTGGGGGGAGGGGGGAGGCGATCTGGTCCGTGGGCTGGGCATTGGGCGAGCTGGGGCCTCATCTGCGCCACAGCTCTTGGTGGGGTTGGGGTCAGCCTGTCACCCAGGTGTGCTGGGGAAAGGCTGAGATCTGTAACCTCTGAGGACTTGGGGGGCCAAGCAAATGCTGTGGCTTTTTACCTAAAGAGGAGGGGCTGACGGGCAGCTGGCCTAGACGGCCATCAGACTCCCACCTGCCCTGAACTTGAGCCTCTGTACAACAGACACAAGGTGGTCATCAAGAACTGTTCCTTCTCAAGTGGAGGACCGAGGGGCAGGGAGCCACACGAGCCTGCCTCGGAGGCACCTGAGCTTACTTATGCTAGGACGGACCTGCCGCCGTGAATGAGTGCATCCTCCCCCTCCCGCCCCCCTCCAGGTGTCCGGTGCCATGGGGCCGTGTGCAGCGACCTAGGACTGGCAGCAGGGAACAGCAAAGGCGGTCCTAACCTTATCTGGCCTTATAAATTGGGTTACATTCCTGTTTGGCCAACGGGCCAGGAAAGTGATGACCCAGAGAGACGCCGTGCTGCGGGGGTGAGCAGGTGTTTGAGGACCACATGGACACAGGAAATCATCCTGCTGAAAGAGGAAAGGGTGAAAAGGAGAGACAGAAAGATGGACGCCTCCCCCGCAAATAGGTTAAACTTCTCACTCTGGGAGCTGTACCTTCCCCTGCAAAGGCTCCCTTTGCAAAGGGACACCAGGTGGGAGAGAAGGCAGAGGAGCAGCCCACAGGGAGATGGCAGGGGTCCAGTGGGGGCCAGCAGAGGAGGCGTCCGGTGGAGAGGACACAGCAAACAGAGGAATTCAGCTGTGCCCTAGTGAATGAGAATGGTGCGCACGTCTCGCCCGCCCCCCGCAACAAACACCCCCCAGGCCCGACATGCAAGACTGCCCACAGTTCTGTGTGCCCTTGTAATTGGATTCACCATGGACTATTTGGGCTGGATGGCATTTTTTGTTAAACATGTCGGCTTCACATTGGGTAAGTGCGTGTGCCCTGGTTTTAGTCACCCCCTGACACTCACTGATGGAGGCTCTGGGGGCGTCGTGTTCATAGACCTGGCAGCTCCAGGTCTATGTGCCCCAGATGTGTCTGCAGCTTGATGTAGGAGGTGCGGGAAGAGCTGGGATCGGAGCCTCCTGAGCCAGTGCTCACAGAGTCCGAGATGCCCTTGCTTCCTCCGAGTGTCTGGTTGTTCGCGGCTGTTGCTAAATCTCACCCCTTTTCTTCTGAAGCAGGGGACGTCTGTATGCCACGCTGGGGCCCAACTGGCGGGTTCCGGTTCGGAATTCTCCCAGAACCCGGAGCTGCGTCTACAGGTATCCATTTGTTGTGTGCTCATTTACTTGACAGCTAGCTCTAGGCTGCTCGGTGGACGCCGAGCGCTGTGCTCGTGGCTGCTGGATAAGCCACAGTCCAAGAGACTGAACCGGTAATCCCAGATCCCTGATGGTCCCGGAGAGGAGGTGGGCTGTTCTGCGAGGGGAGAACAGGGAAGGCCTCTGTGGAGAAGTGACTGGAAGAGTGATGGGAACAATCCAAGTACAGGGAGGGGAGGGGTAGGGATGAGTGCACCCCAAGCCAAAGGGAGGCAGGAAGAGCAGGGTGGCTTGGGGAGTGAGAGAGGGGAGGGGTGGAGATGAGGCTGGGGAGATGCGGCCCAGCCAGGGGGCAGGGGTGGGGGAGTGACAAACAGTGGCATAACCAGGTCATCATGGCCATGGCAAGGAGAGCTGGAAAGCATGCAGGAGGAAGGCAAGGCTGGCCTGAGGGAGGCCAGGGAAGAGCACTGGGCAGTGGCCCAAAGGGAGAGCAAGTTCTGGCCTAAGGTAGGGGGAGTGAGATGGCGGAGAGGGGCAGTCAGGCATACGTAGGACTTGGGGTCGGTACATCCTTGGGATTGGGTAGGTTGCTGGGGTGGAGGGGAAAGAGGAGAAGCCCCCCCAGATCTCTGGTTCAGGCAGCCATGTGGATGGTGGTACCGTTTATTCACCTATGGAAGAAGAGCAGCTTGAGGAAGGGCACCCAGTTGAGGGAGGTGCCTGTGGGAGACACCTGCCCAGTGACCGGAAGCCATCCAGAGCCTCGCGGCAGGTCCCAGCCGGTGCTGCACTTGGCTATCTTTGCCTGTAGGTGGCGCCCGAAGCCCTGAGGCAAAGGCACTGGGCTTGGCAGCGCTCCCTGGTCCCGCTTCTCACTCCACCGCCACCTTCCCACACTTGCTCACTGCTCCTCCAGGCTCTGCCAACACAAGGAAGGGCTGCAGGGCCCCAGGCTCCCCAGGTGGAGAGGAAGGTAGAAGCTCAGGAGGGCCAGGAGGAAGCCACCACCAAGGTCAGGAGCAGGAGGCCGTGCTCCTGGGGTCTGGGTTACAAGAAGCTCTGCACCAAGCCTAGCGCCTGAGGCACTTGGAAAGGCGAGGGAGGTGAAAGTTTCCAGCTGTGGCCAGCGCAGGGCCACCTGCCCTGATCATGTTGAGTCCTCTGGCCTGGCACAGCATCATGGACTTGGCAGTGGGGAGCTGGGAGGGAGAGGTGCCTGAGCGCGGCTCCTCCAGGGCAGTGTCTGACTGGTGGTCTCCCCCCAGCCCCACGGGCCCATGCATCTGTACGCTGGGGAGCTCGGCCACAGTGCCCACCATGGAGGGTCCTCTGAGGAGGAAAACTCTGCTCAAGGAAGGCCGGAGACCCGCGGTAAGTGCAGACCCACCTCTGTCCAGAGGCAGCAGGGCCTTTGGGGAGGGCCCTGGGCTCTGGCCCTGGCTATGCCACTGAGTGGGCAAGGGCCTCACTCCCCACATCTGTAAACTGGGATACAATAGTGCCTATGTCTCCGAGACTCAGCAAGACTGTCACTTACGGCTGTGCACACAGCGAGCATGTGGTGACCCAGAGCTGTGACGAGGGCGAGTGGAAGCCCGCAGACCCCCGGGCGTTGGGTTGGAACTGCCCCTGAGAGGGCCGGTGCAGCCTGCGCCCGGTTCCCAGCTGCAGGTGCCCTCTCTCCCTGTGGCAGTAGCATCAGGAGGCCTTTGAGGCTCTACCACTTGTTCCCGGGTCACCTGTGCCAGACCCCCAAGTCACTGGCTCCATGACCTCCCCCCATGGCAGGGCCTCAGCCGCATGCAGGGACCCCCGAACTGTTACCACAGAGCGTCCTTGCAAGGGTTTCCTACCAACAGACGGTGGGCTGCGTCTCCAGGCGGCATCCGCTACCATCTGCTCTGCCCTCCTGCTCCTGCTCTGGCCCTTGCCCGTGGAACCCCCTGAAACCACCCCCTCCTATCTGTGCCCACCGTGAAGGTGCCAGGGTGCCAGCCCAGCTGTCCCCTCCAGACACTGCTCTGTCTGCCGGTGTCAGTGGCTCATGGGTAAGGGGAGTCTTCAACCCCGGCCCTAGGCTGCCCTTCGTCCTTGGGCCCAGATTCTCACAGAGCATTCTGTGACATGGGGCCCTAGATCTGGCCTGTTGAACAGACCTGCCTGCTTCTCTCCCACACTCAGAGTTCAGGCCTCGGTCATTCTGAGTCAGGGCGAGACAGTGTCCTGCTAGCAGAGTTTTCCCAGATGTTGGTTGGCCCAGTAGTGAGTGATGAAGCCAGTCCAGTGGGTCATGGCCTGTATTTGTGAGCAGAATAGAGTAGAATGGAAAACAGCAGCATCCCATATGTATAATAAAGCTAAGTCCGTTTCATGAAGCTTCTTTCAGTTGGACACGTATGTGCATGTGTGTTACGCACATGTGTGGGTGTCGTCAGACATGTCTGACAGCCCGTGCTGTCACTGTTGCCATCCCCGGAGCTGCATCCCGCATGGAGAAGGGCTCTTGGGGGCTGTGATTCGGAATGGTTGGCCTCGCTCCTCTCAACCTTGTTCCTTGCAGGAGCTGGTACTTGCTTCAACTTTGTAAACCAAAAGGCTTATTGAAGTGATTTTCCCTAAACCCAGGAGCAGAGCCCCCTGAAGAGGGAATCCCAGCCTTCCTGCCTAGAGAAACAGAAAGAATACCTGTAGCTCTGCCCTGTTGGCTTCTCCGCCTTCGAACCCTGCAGACTTCCACGTGCCGCCATTCAGTCCCAGCCCGAGCTCCCCAGTGCAGATACTATGGTTCGACTAGGCTATGGTTTGGCATGTCCGTGTTTTGAAAATGTTTTTCCCCAGGACCTTCTTGGGCCCAAGTCACCTGAACACACAGAAATTAAGCTTTGGCACTGCCTTAAACAAGGTGAAAAAAATGCAAGGCTCTTGGAGTAAAGGAGCCAGAGAGGGGAGTCAGGGCTCAGAGCTCAGAGGCACTGATGAGGAGGCTCTCCCTCCCCCAGGCGGAGGTGACACTGATGCCTGCGGGGCCAGGGGAAGAGATGAGGCCTGTGCTGGCACTGGTTGGCAGGAAGGGGACACCCTTCCACCCATGTGGCTGGGAATCAGGCGGGGAGGGGGGACTCCACCCCCCCCCACCACATGCAGCGTTGCCACCCTGCCTCCCCTTCCTCCATAGCTGTCCTCATGGACCAGGTACTGGGTCATACTCTCGGGATCCACCCTCCTGTACTACGGAGCCAAGTCCTTACGGGGCACAGACAGAAAACACGTAAGTCCCAGAAGAGGACTCTCCATACTGGGACTTGAGGTGGTATGAGCTGGGGGGAAGGGGCAGGGGCGGGAAGGAACCTTTCCAGGCCCAGCTCGGCTTCCCCGGGGAGTGAGGGGTATGGGCCTCCCGGTCATGATGTTGTTCTTCCCCAGTATAAATCCACACCCGGCAAAAAAGTCTCCGTGGTGGGCTGGATGGTGCAGCTGCCTGACGACCCCGAGCACCCCGATATCTTCCAGCTGAATAACCCCGACAAAGGTAGGCAGCAGCCCCGGCGCTGGGTGCACACGACTTCCCTCCACCCTGTTTTCCTGGTCTGCTAAATGTGCATTTTGAAACAATAAGAACTTTGGGGGCTGCTGCTTTCCCTTTGCTTTAGGTTGTGATCAGAGGGCACCACACTAGTCCGTGAAAACTGCTTAGATCATGGTCAGTGTGACCACTGAGCCGTGGGCATGGCACGTGGCTGCAGGAACCCTTTTGTGGCCTTACCTCTGGCTACTGGGGCTCATCACCTTTGAAGGTATAGCCTTAGGGTCTTGGAATAAATAATATAATGCTGCATAAGGCAGGGACCATGTGGCTAGAAGGGTCTTGGGTCTTGGGAGACTTCAGAGACATCCCTGACATTACCTGTGCTATGAGACTCTCACAGTATCCCAGTCCAAGGCCAAATCAGAGAAGAGCCCTTTTACAAAAGCCCCAACTTTAACTTGTCTGGTCATCTCCCATATCTTCCTGGTTCCATCTCTCCCACGTGACCATGTTGCGTGGAAGGAGAGGTTCTGGGCGCCATCTTGTCCAGAAGCCTCTTTGCATTGGCCTTGCTATCAAGGAAATGGCAATCAGAACCACAATGAGATATCACCTCACACCTATCAGAATGGCTAAAATTGGGGCACCTGGGTGACTCAGTGGGTTAAGCCGCTGCCTTCGGCTCAGGTCATGATCTCAGGGTCCTGGGATCGAGTCCCGCATTGGGCTTTCTGCTCAGCAGGGAGCCTGCTTCCCTCTCTCTCTGCCTGCCTCTCCGTCTACTTGTGATCTCTGTCAAATAAATAAAGTCTTAAAAAAAAAAGAATGGCTAAAATCAGAAAGACAAGAAATAACGAGTGTTGGTGAGGATGTAGAGAAAAAGGAACCCTTGTGCATTGTTTGTGGGAATCTAAATTGGTGTAGCCACTGTGGAAAAGAATACAGAGGTCCTTCAGAAAATTAAAAATAGGAATACCATCTGATCCAATAATTCCATTACTGGGTAGTTACCTAAAGAAAATGAAAACACTAATCCAAAAAGATATTCACCCTTATATTTATTGTATTATTGATAATGGAAGCAACCTAAGAGTCCTCTGATAGATGAATGGAGAAGGAAGATGTGATAACACATATACACGTCACACACACACACACACACACACACACAGTCATAAAAAAGAACAAGATCATGCCCTTTGTGATAATGCAGATGGACCTAGAGGGTGTTATGCCAAGTGAATTAAGTCAGACTGAGAAAGACAAATGTGATATGATTTCCTTCATGTGGTATCTAAAAACAGCAACAACAAAAAACCAAATGAATAAACAAAAAGCAGTATCAGATGTATAAATACAGAAGATAAACTGATGATTTCTAGAGGGGAGGGGATGGGGAGATGGACAAAATGGGTGAAGGGGGATAGGAGATACAGGCTTCTAGTTATGGAATGAATATGTCATAGGAATATAGTCAATGATATTTTAATAGAATTGTATGGTGATCATAGTAACTGCACTTGTGGTGAGCATAACATAATGTATAAACTTGTTGAATCACTGCGTCGTACACCAGAAACTAATGTAACATTTTGTGTCAACTATACTAAAAAAAAAAAAAAAGAAAGAAAGAAAGAAAAAGAATAGCTCATGCTTGTCTTCTTGGTAGCCCATGTCACATGACAAAACCCCAAAATACCGGGGTCTTGGGTTCTAGCCAGGCAAAGTCACTGGGACTGTCAGGCCTCCAAGCATCTTTACATCTTCTCAGGAATGTTCTAGTGCAAGGTTCACGTACATACAAATCACCTGTGGAGCTAGTAAAAATTTGGGTTTGGATTCAGTGGATCTGGGCTAGAGCCCAAGCTCCTGCATTTCTAACAAGCTCCCAGGTAATGCCGGCGATGCTGCCGTAGAGAGACCGCAGGGTTCCAGCGTTGTTAGCTGGGAAGTCAGAAAACAGAAACCTCCAGTGGCCCAGGGACTGGAGAGGAGGGGAGCCAAGGTCTCTGCTCCACGTCTGAATGGTTGAATGCACGCACAGCTACACACGTCGTAGCGCGTCCCGGTCTGGTCGCCCCTGGAATTTCTTCCTCAAGCTTCCAGGCTTGGGTTAGAAGTCCTCTTTCTTGAGGAAGTAAATGTTGGGCCCACAGGAAAGCACTGTCCCAAGCAGAGGAAAATATGATACAGAGGGTGGCCAGGGTCTGTGGATAGAATTCAAGGGGTTTGTGAACTCGAGTGCTGAAAAAAAAAATCACATCTTTCTTTTCCTATGGACTCTCATGCCTTTATTTATGAGTTTAGAACTACTAGAATGTTCACAACACCCATGATTTTATGTCCAAGAAAAACCACAGATATTTTCTTATCACATACAGTTGTAGATTTCTGAGTGGCTCACCTCTCTGGAATTAACAGAACAGTGTCAGACCTGCCCCTAGATCTCGGTACTTGTGCATTAATAGAGGAGCACATCTAGAACTGTATCACTCAAGTGTTTTTTAGTAGTTTGATAACTGCATTTCAGTGGTATTGATCTCTCTCTCTCTTTTTTTTTAATGCATTGAAAATGTTATTCTGAGGAGGGTCCACAGGCCTCACCAGAGTCCAATGCACTGTGGCCCAGCAGTGGCTAAGAGCCCCGGTCCACAGAGACACCCCAAAGGCACCCAGAGTTCTGCCCCTGCAAGCCCCAAGCTTACACTGGGCTGCTCCTGACCTCCCTTGGTTTGGTTAACCTAAGTTCACATTTATCTTCAGGCTCCCGTCACAGGCAGACCCTCCCATGAGACCCTCCCTCTTCCTAACCAATGGTTTCCTCTGCCCATCAGGCAATGTTTACAAGTTCCAGACTGGTTCCCGGTTTCACGCAATACTGTGGCACAAGCATTTGGATGATGCATGTAAAAGCAACAGGCCTCAGGTAAAGTCACCGAAACCCTGCTTGTCTCTGGAAATATCCTCTCCCACCCTTAGGACTAAGAGTCCGTAGAAAACAGGGCACCTTCCTTCCCTCAGAGCCTCTCAGCCGTGCTCCCGGGCACTGTCTTTTGAGCAGCCTTTTTCCATGAGACAGGGCACCCTCTGCTCAGCTTAGAGCTAAGTCCGGCTCCAGACCAGAACTGTGAATCTGGTCCCGTGTCTTTCCCACTAACGGAAACAGCACCGAAACATCAGTCGGGCACAGTTGGGTGACAGATGCGATATGGCCCCAAGGCTGAGGATACAGCACCCAGTTAGACCATGTCCCCCAAAAGCTGATTCGTGGGCGTACTCCCCACTGACAAAAGGGCCTCCCTGCCACACAACCCTTAGGAATAATACTATCAGCTAATGCTGGGAGCCAGCCACGGCTGCTCCTCGGGGTATCTGCGCCAGCGGGACCGCTGGTCTGCGCCTCGCCCAGGCCCGGGCACTGCGGGCAGTGTTTTACCTGCGGGAATCCAGCGCCCCTGTGAGGCACGTTTCTCTAATTGTCTCCATTCTGTGCTGAGGACTCTGAGGCTTAGAGAGTGGCAGACACTCATTCAAGGTCCCAAGGTGAATGAGATCTAACCCCAGTCTGCCGGCCACCAAAGTCTGGACTTGCTGCCCCGAGCTCCCTACCCTCGCACTTCCCAGAGGGCCCCCAGCTTGCTCAGCCTCCCGCGGTTGAGCTGAAGGCCCGGGAGCACAGCCTCGCTGTCGGGCTTCTGAGAGGCTTGGCTGCTCCAGCCCTCAGCACCCAGCGGGGCAGGCTGGACGTTTCTGCCCCTGGGAGTCAGGGCGGGGGGCGGCATTTGGCTGCTGGTGCCAGGATGGGTGTTCTTGTCCCTCAGCTTCCCTGCCCGTGTTCCCCAGGGACCAGCCAGAAGAGGGCGCTGCGGAATGGGTCCCTCTCAGTCTGGGGACAAGGCAAGCCCCAGAACTTTAGAATAGGCTCTGCCAGCTTCAGGCGGGTGGCATCTGGGAGGCACCAGCTCTGAGATGTGAGGGGGGCCTCAGCAAAGGCTGGTTCACATCAGGCATTTGGGTCTGGGAGGCTGCTGGCGACAGCACAGCCACGGACTTCTGGGTCCCTCCGAGTGGTTCTCGGAAATCAGAGAGAAGTCTCGGTTTGGTCCTACTCAGGATTTTCATCTGTAACGTCACATGAGAACATACGTGACAAGCTGGTCAGATTACAGATGATGGGAAGCTAGAAAGCAGAAGTAGTAGAAAGTTATCGACAAAATAAAACAGTAGGAAAGACTGACAAAGGGAAAATGCAAGGTAGCACAGAGCAGCTTGAGGTAAACTGCATTTGAGTCCCCTTACTCACCTACCTGCCTGCCGGAATTTGTCCCGGTGATAGACTCACACGTGTCCACAAAGGTCTGTGTTCACTGCAGGGACACCTGGCTGGTTCAGTCATGTAGGCATCCAACTCTTGCTTTCAGCGCAGGTCTTGATCTCAGGGTCATGAGTTCAAGCCCCACTTCGGCGTGAAGGCTACTTTAAAAAAAATGTTCACTGCAGCACTGTCCTTGATAGAAAAAAACTGGAAACCTTTGTGACTGTCAATAAATCCATACTGTGTGATATCTGGTAGCGATTAGAAAGACAGAAGCAGATCTGTGTGTGGTATCCTGAAAGGGACCCTAAGATATAAGTAAAAAGCAAAGTCTAGGAGCACCGGGCTGGCTCATCCAGTAGAGCCATGAGTCTGAGCCCCACGTTGGGCACAGAGATTACTTAAAAAATAAAAAAATTTAAAAAGCAGGGGCGCCTGGGTGACTCAGTGGGTTAAAGCCTCTGCCTTCGGCTCAGGTCATGATCTCGGGCTCTCTGCTCGGCGGTGAGCCTGCTTCCCTTCCTCTCTCTCTGCCTGCCTCTCTGCCTACTTGTGATCTCTGTCTGTCAAATAAATAATAAATAAAATCTTTAAAAAAAATTTAAAAAGCAAAAATTTAAAAAGCAAAAATAAAATCTTAAAAAAAATTTTAAAAGCAAATCTCATTTGTATTAAAATATATAAGCTTATTTATAATATATATGTTTGTCTCTGTATATGAGATTTCTAAGGTGATGTGCAGGAAGCTATCGTTTGTGGTGTCTAGAGTGCTTATGTATGTTTTTTTACATTAAACAAACATAACTACTCGTCTCCACAACAGGAAGGCCAGGGGTTTCAGCCGACAGTCACCTCAAGGTGATGCAAAGTAAACAAGGCCCCAGGTCACATTAAGAGAAGAGGAGTACCCTGACCTTTCCCAAACTAGTCACATTGGGTGTGTCTGGGGCTGCAGCAGGGAGCAGGAAACTGGGTCAAAAACCACTTGGCAGAGCAGGTGTTTGGTCAGAAGGACAAATGGATTGAACTTCTTTATGGCAAATGTGGTGTGCTGTGGCTAAGTTCTGCAACTTTTAAGTACTTTTGACCTAGCCAAGAGGGATCTTTTATTTTTTTCTACCTTTTTCCCCTTTTTATTTCAAATTTACTTCCCACCACATATTCCTACCCTGTGCTGCATGTGATCATAAAAAGCTAGCAGCAGCTAACTCTCCCACCCTGTGATGGCGTGCAGGGCCTGCGAGGAAAGAAGGCACAGAAATTCGTCTATACCCATGGAAAATCTCAGTGACTGGGACCAGTTTTCTTTTTGGTGGACTTGCATTTCTTAAAATTGTTTGTACTAACACTGACTATGCTTAAACCTTATTTATAACCTGTGTAAGGTGTAAACCACAGCTAGAAAAACACACACTGCTCGCTGCCCGCCCAGCCTAAGGGCAGGACCTCCCTCCCCCAGGGACCTCTTCCTAACTCTGTGTGCCCCCCCAATCTGCCTGTACCCCCTAACCACACTCCTGATTGATTTACTGTTTTTTTTTTACAATGTTAGCACATATATTTGATTCCTTCATGTATTGTCTGGAGTACATTTTTTAAAACATTTTTAAAAATAGAACCATAACGGGATATTTTCTTCTGTGACTTACTTTCTCCTACAGTGTGTTCCTGAGATTCATCTGTGTCCATGTGTGTAGCTGTCATTCATTTATTTGTACTGATATTTTTTTTTATTAATTCTCTGGCAGTGATCCCAGGAATGATTTCCTGCTTTTTGCTATTTTGAACAGTGCTGCTGTGACCATTCTTATAGCTATCTCCTGGTGCAAGGAGATGCATTTTTTTTTTTTCCCATTCATCACTTTGACCAAATTGACACCAAGATGGATTTGTTTTTGATGAAATTGCTTCTCATCAAATCTCCTGGAACCCTACAGCAGAGCTGAGTGGGAGAGCCTGGGGCAGGGGGCAGCTTGGAAGGGAGAGGGAAGCACACTGACCTTGGGCTGGTGGTCTGCCAGCAAAGGGAGCTGGGATTGTGTCCTGGGGACGAAGCTATGGGAAGATCTTGGGGGTCCCAGCGCGCCGATCTCTCCTCCTGGTGCTCCTGCTTTCAGCTCCCACCACCCTCTCACCACCTAGCCCTGCCCGCTGGTTTCCCTTCCAGAGGCTTAGGCCCATCCCTGCGGAACAGGCCTCCTCTCCGCTCCAAGGGTAGTTTTGTCCCGCACCAGGCTGGTCAATGAGAGCGTGGGCTCTGGGCCATGGCCTGCCATTTGCTTGAGGTGGGCTTCCCCTCTCTAAGCCTCAGGGTCCTCATCTTTGTCATGGGGACACTTCCAGAACCTGCCTCCTGGGGTGTCATGAAGACTAGAGGACACGATGATGTCAAGTGCCTGGCACACAGTGGCCACTTGACAGACAGCGGCCGTGGTTCTGGCCAGGCCCTCTTTCCTACCTGCCCCGCTCATTCGCAGACTCTCTGGGAAGACCCGATCCCTTCCCTTAGGGGTACCCCTTGTCCCATTCCCAAAGGTTGGAACTTTGACAAGAGGCTGAGCTTTCTCTTCCAGGTACCTGCAAACCTTATGTCATTTGAATAAGTCTCTGCAGGACTTGGCGTGACTTCAGAGGCTCCTGGGAGCCCAGCCTTGGACTGGTGGCGAAGCTCACGTCCTGGGCACAGGCTGTCGGCCAGCACGCTGGGTGACTCACGGCCGGACTCGAGGGGCCTTGGCCGGCGGCCTCACGGCCCTGAGGTCTCTGCCAGCGCAGGGCCCGCCTGCCAATCCCCAGCGACTCTCACGCTACTCATTCTTCAGCACCACCCCGCGAAGCCGCGGTTGGGCCCCAGACTCTGCACCCCACCCTCCCTCTCTGGGCCCTCGTCCGTCCACCAGCTGCTGCTTCGACTAGAGAGCATCTGGCCCACGTTGGGTCCCCCATGCTTTCTCCTGCACAAGAATGGACAGTGTTAACCTGCATGAGGGGCCAGAGAGAAGGAACAGGCTATGGAGGAACAGGCTTTTTATACCCCAAGTGCACGGGGTTGCTCGCCCACAGGGCTGCCTCAGATTTTGTACAACCCCCAAAGCGTCCTCTGCGTGTGCGTGCCATATACGTGTGCGTGCAAGCGAGTGTGAACTCTTCAAGAAACATGCATTTTGGCACAAGACTTGTGACATCACACCCTCCATTCGCTTCGAGGCCCTGCTTTAACCTGACGTGACAGCCTTGTCCACCGAGGAAGGTCAGAGTGAGAGCCCAGATTCCTCCTGTGTTAAGGGTTCCTTGCATTCTTTTACTGTAAACAAACAATGCCTTAAATTGTGTCTTGTTTTCTGTTCCAATGGGTGCTATTCATCTGGAAGGTCTGCTCTCTGGGCCCCCCGGGTCCCTTCCAGGCCTTGTTGCTGTTGGCTCTTCTGAGACAGGACCCGGCTTCACTGTGGACTGGGCTGGTCGGCTTGCTCCCTCCCACCCCCTCTCCTACAGGGGCTGAAAGCCCTTGTCCTCTTCCCCCAGACCACGCCAGAGTGGGAAGTTGTGACGGTTTCTCCCGGCTTCCTAGGAAGCCCTCGCAGGCTGCCGCGATCACACACACAGAAGCGCTGTGCACAGCCTGTCCCGCAGGCCGAGGTTTGCTCCCATCATCTACTGCCAGGGCGGGGCCCACCGGCATTCCTGGTTCCACTGGGGAGCTGAGTGACACTGAGGCCTTAAGCTCCCCCAGTCTTGCCCCCAAACGCAGTCACCAGCAAGTTCTCCACATCCAAGTCCAAGGGCACAATTGTTGATGACCATGGTGACAAGAGAGCAAAGCCCCGGGGAGTGAACGGTCCCAGCTCTGCATTCAGTTAAGCGCTCTTCTCATGGACAATGTCCTTTATCTGTCACTGTCTGTCTTATTTTTTAAGTGACTTTTATTTTGCACAAATACATCTTTATTCAAAACAATGAAAACTTAGCTTTATTTATGGTAGCTTTACCACCATAGCTTCTTTCCCTCCCTCCCTCTCTAATCTGGGTGCCCAAATTCTGAGAAGGAGACCCTGAAATGGTTTTCTGAATTCCTGGGTCCTTGTTGCTGTCATGGTTTCCGAGCTCACACTGATCAGACATCCAACCATCCCTAAGAGTTTCTGGGCAAGATGCTTCAAAACATCATCTTCACCAGTAAACTGTGATAGGTGAATTTTAAAACTACCAAAGGACCCACCACTGTATTTTGATCAAACGGTGACAACTTTCCTGAAAATTCCAATTAATTGAATCTTATTTTAGGGTTGAGGTTTAGTGTGCCCAGTAACTAACCCTCCTTTGGAGCAAAGTCTAGAATATTTTTGTGCCAGGAGAAGCTCCAGGTGGTAAAGCTGGTGCCATCCCACCTTGGCCGTGAGTGTTCTGCATGCTTGCGAACGGCTGGGGGATGGCTGCGTGCCCCCAGTTCACGCCAGTGACTGCTCAAACGGGCATCCGGAGGCCAAATGACAACACCAAACACTCCAACAGCTCTCACCAGAACCATGCAGTGTTAACGCCGCTTTAACCTACACTGATCTGATTCTGCCTGCTAATATCTTTTGAAGTCTTAAGTTTGGAGGAAAGCGCCAGAATGGAAAATCAGCCACTTATTTTCCTTGGGTTTCTCCACTCCTCAACTCTCCTGGCTCTTCTCGTATGAAATACTATAGATGCCAAACCAAGGACCTCAGAATTTCAGGCTCCCTTCAGTCAGTGCATTTTCTGCCCTTTACACACTTATCTTTTGCAAAAATTTTCTTCTGAGCTGAATTTGAAATAGCACCATTGCAATTCTTTCCAAAATGTTTAGTCTTCTCACTGATTGAGACTGATCCCACATCCCCTCCTAGAAACATTTGTAGCTTAGACTCTTGAAGAATCTGCTTAGGCCTTGTTGGCACAGGCCTTTAAAGCTGGTAAGAGTCCCAAAGACAGGCCAAAAGATACTGGCTTCTCCCAGGCCGGACGTGGGGCCAAGCATATAAGTGCTGATTTATCTTCCCAGCATTGGTTTGTCCCTCAGGCAGTGGGTGAGGAGGCCCTCAGGCTGGCACAGAGAAAACCAGGTACAAATCCCAAAAGGGAAAAAAGTCCATGGCTGTATTCTCACCCTGTAGGGAAGCATTTCTGGTTTATGTTCTTTGACTGTCCATAATGCATCAATGTTTGTGAAACCATCGAAGGTGATCAGTGTCTTGTATGCGTATGCTGGTTGTTGGTTGTTTTGTTTTTTGTTTTTGAGCAAACAGATCATGGTGCCCCAAAATGAAAACTGTAGAATTCTGTCTAGAAATCGTAGAATAGGTAGTTGGTATCATTATGATTCCCCAAGAACCTCATGCACCTCTCCCTGGGAATAATTTCTGGCCCTCTCAGTTGGAACATGTTTTATAACTCAAGGTCAGCCAAGTGCATTCTGACAACTGAAATGCTTCATGGAGGATTGATTCAGTGGGGAGCAGTAGAAATAGTGTTCTGAGTGTGCCCAGTGAGAGAGTGCGGCCTCCCTTTCCTTCTTGAAGAAGCCCATTCATCACCCTGTCTTGCCGTGGAATCTAAAGAGGAAGATACTCGAAGGCATTCTGTTTAGGAAAGAACCCACTCTCTCTTGCCAATGAGTTTATAAAGCTTTTGATTTTCCTTACCAAGATTTCCTTTCATCATCTTCCTCTCCCACCTTCCGAGCCCAAGACGTGTATCTTTTAGGATGCCATTTTACAAGTGGAAAACGATCCATGAAAATGGGAAACCTTTCACAAGTGCGGTCTGATTTCATTCCGCAGGTGGGGTCTACAGCTCAGCACCCCCATCGCTAATGCTTCTAACAAGGTGAACATTGCTAAAACACAACCTAACTTACTTTGCGTGACTTCATAAATGGCTTTACCCAGCCTAACATCATACTGACATGTTGTGTGATGTCATTTTTTACAGAGAAAAAAAAATTACAAGAGTCCCTTGGAAATAAAATTCTCTGCACAAAACCACCTATTCGTGCATTCATTCATTCATTCATTCATTCATGACTCTAGTGAGTGCTTCCTGTGTGCCAGGCTGTGGCTGGGATATGGGATATGCCGTCAGTGGCTGAGAACAAGCAGAGCTGGTCCTTGCCCTCCTGGAACTGACCACACTCCACAAGCAAACAGTCCTCACCATGGCATCTCCTCCGGCAAGACCCTGCCTCTCTCCTAACACTGGGTAGAGACCCTGTGCACATTTTTCCAGGAAGGGTTCAAAACACTCATCAGACTGAATGGCCTCTTGATCTGTGAGTTCACCTGCAAGGAGAACTAGACGGAGTTGCTGTCCTAGAGGCTGGTTGTCGCAGAACACCCAGGCACAGAGCTATGGCCGGGCGCGCTGCGGAGGACTCTGAGATGGAATGAGAAAGCAGGGTCAGAACGTTCACAGTATTTACTCCAGAGGCTTTTCAGTCTTAATTTCAGTGTTAAATGCAAATACAGCGTAAGCGAGAGCTGCAATTCCTTTTGTGTTGGGAACTTGTACTGTGGACCACCTTGGAGTCCCGAGCTGCACAAGGGTGGGTACGCTGGGGGCAGCCCCGAAATCCCGGTTTGCAGCAGCGTGAAGAATCATCTGTCCGTTCTATAATCGTTCATCTCTTTACCCATTTCTGAACGACTGTGACCATTCGGTAATGAAATATTAGTCATTAATTTATTAGTATGGTATAGTCTTTAATAAATTTCGTGCCAAAATGCATGGTTTTTCACTTAGCATTCAAAATGTTGCGTAGAGAGTAGTTTTCAATTTCTTATGTATTCCTCAAAGTAAGTTGAAAAATCAGTTTCTACATTTTAATTTGTTTCTTGTTAAATCTGTTGCACTCTCCCGGGCTGTCTTTTTTTTTTTTTTTTTTCCAGCAGACCCCCCTGCATGCAGTTGTGTAAGGACTTTCTCTAATTCTTGTGAATTGTCTCACCCGCAGTAACCACTGAACATCAGCCCTCTGTGGGATTCTTTAGATTTTTGGTGAAGTATTTTGTTACCTCAGTCTTGTATCAAGTTGCTGTATTTTTCAGCTTGTTACACTGATAATTGTTTCACTAATTAAATACTTTAATGTACAAACATCTTTGTTTACTTTGAAATTAAATGTGTTTTCCAATGAACATTGCTCAACTTATTATTCACGTGCATTTACTTAGTAAACTGTTGCTGTGCCAGATACAGAGATCAAGGAGGTCTGGGGCACTCAGAGCCCGGCTCAGATGTTACTAGAACATAAATGACAAATGGGAGCAATGCCCTCAGGAAGGGACAGAGTCAGTGCTTTCGGCACTCAGAGAGGGAGATGGAGGATCTGGGGAGGGGACAGGGGCATTTGGAGATTCATTTCAGAGATTGCTGAACACATGGAAGACGGGGGAGGCAGGAAGACAGAAAGGAGAAGGAGCGCGACGAAGTTAGGAAAAGCAGCCAACCCAGTCTCACTGAATAGAGGATTTGGGGGAGTAATGGGATCCAGGTCTGAAAAGATATGTTGGGGGAGTTCAAGATGTAAGGCAAAAACCAGAAACCCACTCTAGTTTGCTTAAGAAAAGGGGGGACTTTCTCATGGAAACGTCTGGGAGGACCAAGGTGGAGTCTCACCGGGCTGGCAGGAGAAGTGGGAAGCCTCCTACCTCTTTCTCTCTCCCCTTCATTCTCTATCCAGATTGGCTTCTCTGCTGGAATGTGCAGCAGCCAGGAGCCCAGGCGTTACAGCGAAAGCGTTGGGAAAGTCATCAGGGGGTGTGTGCCAGTGACCGGATCCAAACTGATCACGGGAGCCCTGGCCCTGCCTGCCTCAGTTTCCAAAGCTACAGTAGCTGATTCTCCAGCACAGGCTCCCACACACACTCCTCAGGCTCTCCTCCAGCTCCCCAGCCTAAGCCACTGCAAGCCCTGCTTGCTGAGGCGCCCTAACTTACCTCCTCCTCACGATTTGGATGGCACAGTGACCCCTCGGCTTGACCCAGGTAGGGACGCTGCCCTCAGCCCCAGTGCAGTGCTCAAGGGCTCTGAGACGGATGCGTCTGACTAGGGGAGGAGGTGAGGACGGTGAGGTGCAGCGGCCGTCACACCGGTGGAAAGAGTACATCACATCCAGTCGAGTCTCGAACCCACGACTGGTCACCTGCAAAACACCAGCCCCTCATTCTCACTGCCTCAGGCGCCACGAACGGCCACCAGGAGACAGCAGTACTTCCATTTAACGGGTGTAGAGATCCGCGAGCGAACGCAGACTGCCGTAAAACGTCTATTTAGCCTTGAGGGCAGGTATCCTACCCTTGCGCGTCGCCCGCCGGGCCCCGCAGCCCGCGCAGGTGAGACGGTGTGGGCCGGGCCGTGTCGTGGGCGGGGCTTGGGGAAAGCGGGCTGTGGGCGGAGCCCTGTCCAAGCTGGGTTGAAGGCAGCAGGAGTGAGCGAACCCTTGTACTGGGGGTTTTAGAGAAAAAGGGGCTCCGTGCCCGCGGACGGGACACGGGGAGGGGCGGCCCCCAGAGGGACGCTGCGACGTGAGAAACGGCCAGGAGGCACTGAGGTGTGGAGGGACGACGCTCTCGGGAGCTGACCCTTTGGGTGAGGGCAGGGGCTGCGCGGAAGCTCAGTAGTGGAGGAGTAGGTGGGCGGGGCCTGGGCCGGTGCTGAGGGGCTAGGAGCGGGAGGGGCGTGGCTTCAGGTCCGACGCGCTGAGGACAGGGTGGGCGTTTTGGGTGTCTGGGCCCAATCGAGGTGAGGAGAGCCCACCCGGGACCCAGTGGGGCCGGCGTGGGGAGGGCGTACCTGGACCTAGGGGCTGGGGCGGGACCTAGACCCTGCTGAGGAGCGCGGGGAGGGCTGGGCTGAGGTTCGGGGCGGGGGCGGGGCGGGGCCTAGGCCTGGCCGAGGAGCCCGGGGTGGGTGGGGCTGAAGTTCGGGGCGGGGGAGGGGCGGGGTCTGGACCCAGTTGCGGGGCAAAGAGCAGTCTGGGCTGAAGTTCGGGGTGGGGCTGGGGCGGGGCCTGGGGCCGGAGGTGGCGCGCGGGGCGGGGCATGGGCTGCGGCGTGCGAGCCGAGCGGCCGGCCGAGCCCCGCCGAGGCCCGAGCCCACCCGAGTGCGCCCGAGCCAGCGGCCCCCGCCCGGGGCGATGGAGCCGGAGCCCGGCGGGGCGGCCGCTGCGCTTCTGCGGCAGAAGAGGGCGGCGCTGCGGCGCAGGGGGTGCAGCTTCGAGAGCCCCAGGTACCGCGGCCGGGGAGGGGTGCGGCCGGGAGGGGCGGAAGCGGGGAGCCGGCCACGTGGTGGGTGGGGGACATTCTGGGGGGGACCGAGGACTGCGAGGCCGCGGCGCGGTAAGGGGTCTCTTCGGGGTCTGAGGGGATCCGGCGAGGAGCCAGGGCCGAG